CCCTCCAGCTATGCCCTATTTCTCTGCTACTCCTTAAAGCAAAACAACCAGAAAGGGTTATCTAAACTCATCCTCTCTAACCTCTCTCTTCCCATTTTCTCATAAACGTATTCCAATCAGGCTTCATTCCCACGGCTCTGAAATAGTGTTCGAGGTTACCAGCCATTGCCACATTGCTAAGTCCAGCAATTAAATGTGTAGCTGATCTCTCCTTTCCCTTTTGAAATTTCTCTTAATTTAGCATCTTTGTTCACTTTCTGCCTCAACAACTAGTCCTTAGTTTCTTCTACTGGTTCTCTCTTTTTCCCAGCCTCTACATGTTGGACTGCCTTAGGTCTTATGTCTTGAAACTGCTTTTCTTCTCCATCAATACTTACTCCAATCTCACAGCTTTAAACACCCTCTACATGCTGAATATTAAATCCCAAATGTGTATCGTTAGCTGGAACCTCTCCCCTGAACTCCACAATCATATAACCAACAGTCTAAACGCACTCCTCTCATACTCTACCCATCTCAGTAAATGACAACTCCATTCTTCTAGCTGCTCAAGTCAAAAAGCCTTATTCATAATCATCCACAATTCTTCGTTCTCGAACCCTGTAAATCCAATCCAGTCCATCAACAATCCTGTTGGCTCTACTTTCAAAATTCACTCAGGATCTAACCTTTTATGATCACCTCCACTGCTATCACCCCAGGTAAGCTGCCTGGTATTATTTTATTAGCCTCTTAATTAGTCCCCTGCTTCTTCCCTTCCCCCTTACAGTCCCTGCTCAACACAGTAGATATACTTTTAAAATGTCAGACCATGTCACTCCTGTGCTCAAAACACAATGGCTTTCAAGCTCACTTTCTCTGAAGCTGAAGTCTTTACCATGACCCACAACACTCTAGATCAGTGCTTCTCCAACTGAAATGTACATCCGAATTACCTGGGGATCTTCTTAAGAAATGGATTTCTGATTCAGTAGTTTGAGGATAGGTCTTCCTCCTGCATGTCTAATAAGCTCCTAAATCACGATACTAATGCTCCTGGTCTGAAGACCACTCTGAAGAGCAAGACTCTAGAATAATCTGTACCACTTCCCACCTGACCTCTCTTTCCCTAGAGTACTCCCCTCCAACCACGCTGACATTTCCCCACACCTCAGGGCCAGCACTGGCTTTCCTGTCTGCTTAGAATGCCCTTCCTTGAGAATCTGCATAGTTAACTTCCTCACTTGTATGGTCTCTGCTCATATGCCACCTATCAGCAAGCCTTCTCTGATCATCCAACATAAAATGCTAGCCCATAACCTGGCTCACCGTAATCTTTTTTATCTTTACTTTTCTCCTTGGCATTTACAACCATCTGACATACTCCATATTTATTTATTACTTGTTGAAAGCCTTGAGAGAAAGAACTTTGTCACCTTGGCTGCTTTATTTACTGTTGTACCCCAGTGCCTAGAACACTGCCTGGCACATAGCATAACACCAGTAAATACTTGAACAAATTAAATGACCTGATCTTGTGTATTTATAGTAGAACTTATATTTAGGGTTCTAAATACCAAAAGCAATGCAACTGTTATAAAAAGGACTCTTTTTTTTTTTTTTTTTTTTGTGGTATGCAGGCCTCTCACTGCTGTGGCCTCTCCCGTCGCGGAGCACAGGCTCTGGACGCACAGGCCCAGTGGCCACGGCTCACAGGCCCAGCCGCCCTGTGGCATGTGGGATCCTCCCAGACCGGGGCACGAACCCACGTCCCCTACATCGGCAGGCGGACTCCCAAGCACTGCACCACCAGGGAAGCCCTAAAAAGGACTCTTAAAAGGAATGAGCACTCATGTAACAAAGTGATGCATAATAACAACTGAAGAACAGTTTGCTAGAGTGTGCAGCTTGTGCCATTGGTGATGCACAGATCCACGCAATATGGAGAGAATGGTCTCTCTGTGGACACCCATCAACTCCACACTCTGTTCTCTTCCTTGCTTACCAAATGATGATATGTTCAGGTTTAGGGAAGCCTAGGTAATGATATTGATCAATTTAGCCAATCTGGATAATTCCACTTCCCTTACCAGTAGTTAGGGAAATAGGCACCTGATCCAGTTCTGGCTAAGTCTGTTATAAGACTTCTGGTAGTTTTAAAACAAGAAAGAAGAAAAAGCACAAGACAGAAAAATCCCTTCTTCTACTTCTGCACATCAGAGCAAGGAGCTGTCATCTGGCAACAATGATGGGAAGGCCAAGAAGAAACAAGCTGAAATTATATTATCAAAGTACTTGATAATTAATGAACCCTACTTGTTGTAGGAGATAACAAACGAAGTAGGTTATTATCCAGATGAGGAAACCAAGGCACAGAGAGAATCAGTAACTGTCCAAGGTCAGAGTAGTGCAGCCAGGATTCAAATCTGGGCAGCCTGGCTCCACAGCCTTAATCTCTACCCTCTATAACTCTCCAAAGCAATCTAACTGACACAAGACACTTCCAAGAAGTACACTGACATTACGGATGGGGTCTTGTTGATAACGCATGAATTGTTCTCGGTCATCTCTAGGTTTCAATGGGCAACTGCACTGTACATGTATTGTACAGCGTTGCAACTGTGCACATATGTTTTCCATTATCGCACTCTTGGAAATGTGATCTAGACTCTAAAAAAGTATTACCTGAAACGGGTCAGGTCAAGTCCCAGACATTCTAGGAGCTATCTTCTCCTACAACTCTTAAAGCCACCAGTACTTTATTTTGGCATATAGTAAGAAGTCAAGATCTAAAATAAAATTCTCCCCAAAGACTAACCATACACACCAAGACTGTTTATTGAATAACCTAGAGAAGGTGGTCAATGAATATACTCTTCGTGTAATGCAACGCTAGGGAGAAAACAGTAAGGAATAGGAAAGACATGTTCCGTGCCCCCATGGAGCTTAGTGGTGTAGTGGGACAGACAGACAAAATATCATCACATGTGGGTGGTTGTTTTGAAGTGCTAGGCACAGTGGCAGCTATGGAGTCTTACCTTTAAGGTGCGATGGAAGATGTCTGATGGACAGTACCTCTTGCACGACATACTGATTCACCCCTCCACTTTTCAACAACTCCTCTGGGGATAAGGGCAGATGGAACTCATACAGTTGGGGAGACATCTTCCCCCAGTGGCTCACAGGGCTAGAAGCCAAACAGCAAACAAGTCAGGGTCTATATCTAAGGGTCGTCTTTTTAATCTGGTTCTATTATTCCCGTCCTCCAATACATAACACTTTTTAGTCTTACATCAAGCTAATAACATTATCTTAGAGCGTGTGAGATTAGGCCTGGCCTAGAATCTAATTCTAGTTGTGACTCTGACACTTGGCCATGTCACTTAACCCCCTGGGCCCCATCTGTCAAGCAGGATTACTGATCTCTGATTACTTTACAAAATTTCTCAGGATCAAATGAGTCAAGGGGTATTAAAGTATTTAAAGAACTGTAAAGTGGCATATCGATGCGTTAAGTTAGCATTGTTATTTCTGTTTTTATAGGCAAAACTTCTTAAGTATATAGACACTGTCTCATCTGAGGTCAGAACGGTGACCCAGTATGGGCTAATGGGCTTCCTGTCTCCAGAATGAGAGAACGTGAACATTTACTATTTGTTTACTCTGTGCCAGGTTCTGTTCGGCTATTTGAACGTCCTATCTGATCTAAGTCTCCAAATGCCAATCTCATTAAGTGCATAGTAATATAGCTCAATTTACAGATGAGGAAACTGAGACTAAGAAAGGTTAAGCGATTTGCCCAAATTCCACTGCGGATCTGTGAGACTTACTGTTTCTACCACGTCGTACCACAAGGACACACCCACTAGACCTCCCAGCCCAGTACCGCGTCCTACAGCCCGGTGGCCGATTTTCCCGGCCTCTCCTTCCCCGCTCCCCCTCAACACCGCACCTTACAAGAGCACTTCTCCAGCCGTTCCTCCAACTCGGGATGTAGGGCTGAAACGAAGGAAAAACCAAGGAGGGCACCAGACGCACCAATCTGCGACGCGGCACTCCCGTGGGTAGAGAGACCGACCAATACCCGCCAGGCGGAGGCAAAAGCCCGCCTCCGAGCCGGGCGCCGCGCGGGCAAAGCCACAAAAGTGCAGTTCAAACCTCAACGGCCGCAAGGGGGCCAATCGCGACGCTCGCTGCAGACACCGGCCAATCAGAGCGCAGGAGGCGGAAGGCCCGAGGAGGGCGGGGCCTAGATTCCGGCTCCCCCCCACCCCCCACACGCCGTAGTCTCGCGGCCGCCTCCTTCCCCACAGGGTCCTCTTTTTTCGCGGTCGGTGGAGAGGAGGCTCTGGCGGTGCCTGCCAGAGATGCTGCGTTTGTAGCTGGGCAGTGGCCGTGCCCCTGGGACCGTGACCCACTCCGTCACCCCCAAGACAGGAGGCAAGTTCAGGCCGGCAGTTAGAAGGCTTAGGCTCTAGTCCAGGTTCCGCCATGTCCTCTGCCTTATGACGTCCAGTAGGTCACTTCACTCCCTCAGCCTCAGATTTCCTCCCCTGTCGAACTGGGGGAATAAAAACAGCTACAGCGCAAAACTGCTGTGGGGCACAGAGAAAGGAAGCTCTGGGTTCCCGGTTCCGGACCTTCCTCTCCCTCAGTTGAGGGACGCCCACGGAAACAAGAAAGGGTGAATTTGTTTGACCTTCAGCTTTGGGGGTAGCTAGGCAACGAGACGAGTCCCTCAGCTCTTCCGGAGCTCCAAACCTTCCGGCGGGCAGGCCGGAAGCGCCTCGGCTGGGTGGGGCGTCAAAGACCTTCTGCAACGGAACCTGGAGGGCGGGGCTCGTGGCTGGGGAAGGCGGGGCCAGGCTGGGTCTCACCCGGAGCTGCCTGCGTAAAGCCCAAGATGGCTGCGTGCACGTAGTAGCCTGGTGAACCCAGCGGGGACGGTTCTTGTTCTCTCCTTGAAGGCAACGTCTAGCCTTCCCTCCTGGGCTTGTGAGGTGGGCTGTTGTAGGGGAGGGATGAGAGCAATGGCAGGGAACCTCTCTTGGGTGGCAGGCGGCCTCTCTTTGGTGGCAGGCAGGAGCCTATGGGGCCAGGTGCCGCTGGCCTGCAGAAGCTTCTCTCTGGGTAAGTGGCTGATGCAGAAGGACGCCCCTAGAACTACTTCTCAGTAAGCGGCTCAGATTCATTCCTTTTCTTCCCCATTCCTAGGTGTTCCCAGATTGTTCCATGTGAGGGTCACCCTCCCGCCCCGCAAAGTGGTTGATCGTTGGAACGAGAAGAGGGCCATGTTCGGGGTATATGACAACATCGGGATCCTGGGTAAGACTGGACTCCGTAGTGCAGAATTTCAGAACGGCAGTTATGCTGTAATGACTATCTTTTTTCACCTGTGTAGAAATGGTACCTTCTTCAGTAGTAAGAACAAACACGTGGCTATTTACGTTGTGTTCGGCATTGTTCCGTGTGCCCCGCATATGCATTAACATATTTCATCCTCATAACCTTTTCACTTTGCAGATGAGGAATCTGAGGCACAGGGAGGTTAAGTAGTTTTTCCAAAGCTAGTAAATGGCAGGGCCAGAATTTGAACCCCAAGCAGTCTTGCTCCAGAGCCTATGCTCTTGTTACCCTAGCGTAATGTGTTTTGTCTCTAGGTGCTGCTCAGGGAGATGCAACCGTGTTGAAGGCTTAGCTGGTGGAGGCTGGGTTCTCTCCTCTTGGAACTAATACCTTCTCTCACATTACACAGGAAACTTTGAAAAGCACCCTAAAGAACTGATCAAGGGCCCCATATGGCTTCGAGGCTGGAAGGGGAATGAATTGCAGCGTTGTATCCGAAAGAAGAGAATGGTTGGAAATCGGATGTTCACTGATGACCTGCACAACCTGAACAAACGCATCAGCTATCTCTACAAATGCTTTAACCGACGTGGAAAGTACCGGTAGAAGTGAATGCTGGGAACTGTGGAAGAGGCGTATCTGTCACCCAAGAGAAAGGGAAAGTGCTTTTCCTTATGAGGAAAGGGATTTGTATGCTCTCAGGAATAAAATGGGACTTCTTTGAAATCTGTTATCCACGCCTTTATTTCCCTCTAGATGCTCCTTCTACTCATTCATGCGACTAGGAAGTGGAACTCATCCCTAAGTCTTATAGTCTTAGGTTTGGACTTCACCACTTGCCCTTTGCAGTCCAGCCATACCTATGGTGTTTAAAAACTAAAAAATTATTGTTGGCATCTTTTGACGTTTGGCCCTTCATGTACTGAAGGTGGTCATTTTAAATTGCCCCACAGTGCCATCATGTTAAATGTATTTTTAAAAACCGTTCCACACTGAAATGAAGTATAATAGAAAAATGGAATTATGCTTCTGCACTAACCTTGTCAAAAAATATTGATTGAGTACCTTTTCTGAGCTGAGAACGGTAGGAAAACCAAAATGTATATCCTCCCCCCATGCTTTTCTAGTTAAGTGTATAAAGTTATAGTCTCACAGGTACACTTTAATAGGAGGCATTAAGTACCATATGAGTTAAGTACCATATGAGTGGTTCCTAAGCCTGATTGATCATCAGAATCTCTGGGTAGTTTAACAATTTAAAAAGTCTACTCCCTGCCCCCAAAGATTTATGATCTGTAGAGCTGAGCTGAAGTCTTGTGGGTCTATGTGGGTGGGTTTGGTTTTTTTTTTAATAATTTTTTAAAAATGTATCCATCCGTATAGGACATATGGACATCCATATAGGATATATAGACATTTCAAATTAAGAGTAATCAGGGACTTCCCTGGTGGCGCAGTGGTTAAGAATCTGCCTGCCAATACAGGGGACATGGGTTCGAGCCCTGGTCTGGGAGGACCCCACATGCTGTGGAGCAGCTAAGCCCGTACACCACAACTACTGAGCCTGTGCTCTAGAGCCCGCGGACCATGACTACTGAAGCCCGCGTGCCTAGAGCCCGTGTTCCGCAACAAGAGAAGCCACCGCAACGAGAAGCCCACACACCACAACAAAGAGTAGGCCCCACTTGCCATAACTAGAGAAAGCCTGCGCGGCAACAAAGACTGAACGCAGCCAGAAGAAAAAAAAAAAAAAAAAGTAATCAGATGAGAAGTTTTCTCACAGCTTGCTTTTTGTGCTCCTTCTTGAGGCAACCACTCTTACGACATTCTTTTTAATCTTTCTGGATATATACTGTGCATGTACAAGCTTATATTATCTATCTGTCTATCTACTTTATAAAAAAAGTAGGATTCCATGCACACTAAGTTACATTTTCACTTAATGTAGCTTAGGTACGGTTTTATATTCTCAAGTTATATACCATAATGGTTTAAACTGTTCCATTTTGATAGACATTTAGATTGTTTCCAGGCTTTTGCTTTTGATTTTTCAAAGTATGACTCCTCTGATTTTAAGTAGTTCTAATTTTAAAAGCCAGGTGATTTTAATTAGCTGTGTTTGGAAACCACTGATGTGGGTGATAAATAACCTAGATAAGAGAATGTGTTTGGCCTAATCAGAAGAGGCTTCATAGAAGAGGTTGGATTTCAGGAAGCAGAGAAAGAAGTAGAACATTTCAAGTGGGGAAGAGAAGAGTGATCCGTGGTACATGGTGAGGGAACATAGAATGTGTTGGGAGATGGCTGGGTAGGTCTAGCTATAATGAAGCATAGTATGACACTGTCTGCTTTTTCATCTTTTAATAATTTGCTTGGCCATAAATCAAATAAGTTTGACATTACTCAACTGAGAGGAGAAAAATATTGCTACAATTTTAGAATTGTGTATTGATGAGAGTTAAATTCAGTGTCTCCAGAGCCTAGTCTATGTAAGGCTCTCAATAAATATTTGCAGAGTGAAGTAGGGAAAGCTTCCCTGGTGGTCCAGTGGTTAAGACTCTGCGGTCCCAATGCAAGGGGCACAGCTTTGATCCCTGGTTGGGGAACTGAGATCTTGCATGCCACAAGGCATGGCAAAAAAAAAAAAAAAAAAAAACGAAATGGACAAAAAGAAAGTATTTGACATATTGCTTTTAAAGAAATTTTTTATGTGGGTTAAAAGTGCTATTTGTGTTTCTTGCGGGGGGAGAGTTTAGGTTGATATGAGTCTCTAGTATAGTATAGACTATTGATTAAAAACATGTCCTTTGGAGTCAGACAGGTCTGGGTTTAAACTCAAGCTATACCACTCTATTTATGTGACCCTAGGCAAAGTAGGTAATTACTATGAGCCTTAGTTTTTTGTTTTTGTTTTGTTTTTGTTTTTGTTTTTGCGGTATGGAGACCTCTCACTGTTGTGGCCTCTCCCGTTGCAGAGCACAGGCTCCAGACGCGCAGGCTCAGCGGCCATGGCTCACGGGCCCAGCCTCTCCGCGGCATGTGGGATCTTCCCGGATCGGGGCACGAACCCGTGTCCCCTGCATCGGCAGGCGGACTCTCAACCACTGCGCCACCAGGGAAGCCCGAGCCTTAGTTTTTTTTAGCCTGTCAATTAAGAACAATACAATACTTTCCTCATAGGGATATGTGAAGAATAAATGAAATTATGCATGTAAAACAGTACAGAGTTTGGCAAGTGTAAATGGTAATGACACTCCTCTGGAGTGTGTGTAGTTGCCAAGAATTAGAAAAACCTGAAGAAATGAACAGAAATAGGTTTTTTAAATTAACTTTTCAATAAAAGTATTACAAACTAAAGAAAGTGAATTAGTTATAGATATGAATTGAGATTTGAAGGTAAAGGAATTAGGGTGATTAGGTCTCTTATTTGATCCAAATCCTTTAAAAGTATCAGTTTCGATTATCTATTGTTACGTAATACTCCATCTCCAAACTTAGTGACTGAAAACAACATTATGAACTCATATTCTCTGGGTTATCTGGCCTCAGCAGGGCGGTTATGCTCCATTTGGTGTTGGCGGGGGTCAACCATGTGGTTGCATTCAGCTGGGAGCTTGGTTGAAGCAAGGATGTCCAAGATGTCTTCACTCACATGTCTGGTGCCTCAGTTGGAGTGACTGAGATTTTTTTCCACGTGATTTCATTATTCAGTAGTCTAGCTAACCTAAACTTCTTTACATGGAGGCTTGACTCCAGAGGGCAAAAATGGAAGTTGCAAGGTTTTATAGACATAGGCCAAGGAGTGACATGTTGTCACTTGTGCTGCATCCTACCAGTCAAAGTAAGTCACAGGCCAGCACAGATTCAAGGCTATGTGGAAATGTACTCCATTTTTGGATCAGAGAACATGCATGCGATTACAGGGATGTGAAGAAGTGTCCACAGACCTATTTGCAGGCAATCTACCTCAGTAACATTTTGTGTCTTTGTTGGGACTTTATCTTTTGGAAGTCTCAACAGAAGTGAAGCTAATTAAGTACGTGTTGGATTAACTGAAAAGTAGATTTTGGAGAAGTGGATTGATGGGTATACATGACCATACATTATGATCCTGGGTCTCATGTAAATGTATATATGAGAGTGTCAGGACTCAAAGGGAGTGAATTTTTAAAGGGATGGCTGGAGAGGAGCTGGATATGAGAATGGAGAGGTTGGTGTGAAGTATGAGTGGCTCTGGGATACTTTACATGATTTGGTGGGACTAGAGAAGAGAAAATCAAATATTTGAGTTTCTGCTAAGTGCAAGGTGCTCCAAAGAATATGAGTACATGTTTTAGTAGGATGTGTGGTTCTTGGTAAAGAGGAAAATGATCATTTAATTCAATGAGCATTGAATCTTCCTGCTGTGAAGATTTATAAGATCATGTTTTCAAGGACAGAACAATCTTGGTTTTGGTGTGAAACAGTGTGTAATATTTTTATTCAATAAACACTGAACCATTATGTGCAGTGTTATTTGGAGGGACATAAATCACTAAGTCAGGGCTTCCCTGGTGGCGCAGTGGTTGAGAGTCCGCCTGCCGATGCAGGGGACACGAGTTCGTGCCCTGGTCCAGGATGATCCCACATGCCGTGGAGCGGCTGGGCCCGTGAGCCATGGCCGCTGAGCCTGCGCATCAGGAGCCTGTGCTCCGCAACGGGAGAGGCCACAACAGTGAGAGGCAAAAAAAAAATCACTAAGGGTTGGTTCCTGACTCTCAGTAGCTTTCAATCTACTTAAGAGATACAATATGTAAACAATATAAATTTGGATATGATAATTGCATAGGAAAATTAGTTCTTTTTTGGCTGGGGGGAGATCAGAAAAGTTATTTGTTGAAGAGATGACATTTGAACTAAATCTTGGAATAATTCCAGCTGATGGAAATGGGAAATCTTTGTTAAATATGTACAGTAATATCTATAGGGAGGAGCTTTGAAGAGTATGAAATAATTCAGATTGGTAAGGGGCATGGGAGGGGGCAGCCTTGTCTTGAGGACAGACATGTGAGCAAAGGTGGGAATTACACAAGTCTGTAGGACTAGTTAGTGATCATTAACACACAGTAGGCTTTCTCTGATAGTAGGAAATAAGTTTGGATAGGAAATCTAGTGCCAAATAACTAGGAGTCTTGAATGCCAGCCAAGATGAAGAGCTTAAATTTATTTTTTCCCCTGCAGACCAGTGCTGTTCAATCCAAGCAACATGTTAGAATTCTTGTTAGAGCTTGAAACCCAGTGGGACCCCGTGGGCCTTCCTGGGGACTGACACCCCACCACCACTCGTGTCCCCTGCCTCTTGTTTGTAGAAAATCTTTAGCCTCCTAGGCCTTCCCCAAGTTCCAAAGAGCAAATTTAATCAGAGGAGAGAATGCAGAAACAAAGGGAAACAGTCAAGCAAGACAAAATAAATAGCCTTAAAACAAAATCAAGGACCTTTAGTTCCTCCCTGAGGGTTATAAATAATATCCTGAGCTGTATCCTTGAGCTGTTTTGCAGATACTAAACCCCCACCAGGTGTAAGAAGTTAACTACATGCTGACCACAGGCACACAGACCCCAGACTGGCTGGAACCAGAAGTTGATTGAGATTCCTGAAACATCACCCTGTTACCTCACCACCAACCAATCAGAAGGAAGTATACGAGCTGATCATGCACCCTGTGACTCCCTCACACCGTGTT